AATTTTGCGCCATCTGGTAAGTGAGTTACAGAGTATAAAAGTACACTCCTCTCTATTCTGTGTTATAAACCTTGTATATAAGGTTATAAATTTCCTGTCTCTTGTGATGATGGCTCTTTATTTTTAACTTGACCTTACATAAAGTAAGTTCATAAATCATTTATGCTACAATTTTTTTAATGTTTCTCGTTTTTAAGCAATAATGATGGATATTTTCCGAAAGGATTTCAATTATTACAAGCAAAAGGATTCCTCCTTGCAAGATGTGCTGAATTTCAACGACTTTAGTTCTATAAAGGATAAAGTATACAAAAACCACACCTAACCCTCATAAGAAATATGTTACAGGTCGAAAAAATAGAAGTATGTACTAACTGTGAGTCAATGTTCGGCTTAAAACATCCAAAAGAATGGGAGATATATAAATTAATTAGTAACAGCGGTACGTAGTCTTCTTAATTGCCGCAAATGACCAACAAAATTTAAGGTTTTATATTTATTAAAAATCCATTTACACCCGTTGGCCAAAGGTATTGGATTATGAGGTGCCTAAAAGATTACCCACGATCACCCAACAAAACCAATTTAGATGCTCATTCGGTTATAGGCGAATGGTCACCTTTCAATGACAGTAATGGCAATAATTTACTGCTCAATAAATTAAGATGGGCAACTTTGGGATATCACCATAACTGGAATACAAAGGTTGTAAGATACGACCCTAATGTAAGTTCAACCACTTATTTTATAGGTTTATAGTGAGGATTCCAAAAGTGATTTTCCAGCCGATTTACAATTACTTTCGCAATACGTAGCGAAGGTTTTACAATTTGAGTCCTTTATCGCTGAGGCAGCGATAGTCAATTTTTATCATATGAATTCGAGATTGTCAGGGCATACCGATCACTCGGAACAGTCCCTGGACTCCCCACTGTTTTCATTTAGGTAAGTCATAGATGTACCAACTCATTTGTGACTCTTTGGTTTTAGCTTTGGGCAAACAGCGATTTTTTTGCTAGGCGATATAACCGTGGATGTAAAACCAGCTGCAATGTTTTTAAGTAGTGAAGATTTACTTTTTTAAATCATTTGCTTCGAATGGCCGTATCATTTGTTGAATGTTGAACTGTACCTTAATAATTATTCCGCAGAGTTTACAATTAGGTAGTTCAAGAGTTGTAGGTGTTTTGAAAATTAAAAGTGTAATTGTGATTAATTTTATTTGTTGTTAGTATTATGTAGGATGTAAACTAAAGCTGTATATATTCATTATTAATGTGCACATGTTTCATCTTTCTTAATTAAATTTTGTTGTAGTATACTTTAGTGTCCAAATTGTTATTATTCACATTCTGTACAAATTTTAAACTAAATGGTGATTGGAAGGTATTTCATTTTGTATTTAGAGATTACGATTGATTTGTATTTTACATTTTTAAGTTCTGTATAGTTCGCCAATACCTCACAAAAGGAGTTGTAACACAGCTTGTTGCTTGGTTACAAAATTAACTTTTCCTATGGTAAGTGAAACAAGTTAAAAAAGTAATGGTAAACGATTTACAAAAAGCGTATTTCCACTTGCATTCATTTTACCATTTGTAAGATGCAACTTCTGTTAAATTCGTAAAAATCCGGCCACAAATATGAGACAGCGTTGCACATGTGCAATCCATTTTTGACGTGCTACTTCAATTTCAGTTTATAAGAAGAATTTCATTTCAATACTTCCCTAAATAAGAAAGTTGGCACTGCGCATGCGCAAACCTAAATTTTGAAACTAACGTTAGATTTTCCTTTGTTCCAAGCGCCTACGTAAAAAATTTCATTTAAATGCTTCCATAAATAAAAAAGTTGGCACTGCGCATGCGCAAAACCAAATTTTGAAACGCGTTAGATTTTCCTTTATTCCAATTTTTAGTTGTAGCTTAGCGACATCTCCCTGCGGTCGGCAGTCCAGTGATTGTATTATCTGTGTCAGAGGCGTAACTAGGGTATGGCAGGCATGGCACGTGCCATTGGCGCCAATCAAAAGGGGGCGAAAAAGGCGGTTTTATAGACATAAATATGTATATTAAAAGAGTTTGAGAGTGGAACATTATTATTTATAACACGCAAGATATAGTTCTATTATCTACATCAATTCTATGACTATAGGATAGGTATGTGCTCCTTGACGGTTCTGAATTTTTACAAATAAGGCAGTGCTACTTACTTTGAATCATGCATTTGTGTTTTTTAAGTGTTTAATCGTGTTCTACGCCCCCGAAAACATATAGGAATAGACACTGTGATGGTCTTAGGGGTCTATCAAGTCGACACTGAAAAGTTGACTTGCCTACGCTTTACTTACCGATTACCTTTCAACTCGAAACGATGGACGTTTCTCGGCACTTTTGAATTTGGATGGCAGTCGGCTCGATATGGGTGGCACGGATGATCTCCTACGTTGTGTAATGCGGTTCTATATGTGTTGGGACGTGAGACACAATCGGGAAGGGAATTAAATAAAAGACAGAACTTTGTGCGTAAGAAATGACAAGAACAAATAAATATATTACGCACACAGCAAGACCATACCAGGGAAACCTTCTACGGGACAAAAACCCCGGCATAGGCCACACAAATCCATGAAATAAATCAAAATCAGCAAAATGTAAATAATTGTGACAAGAAATTCAATGATTAATAGTTAGTATAAAAAAGAATAAAATGGTTACTACCTGTAAATACACCTTCAAAACACAACAAACTAAATAATCCAGATGGCAAACTCGGGAAATCATCATGCTCTCCATCGACCCCGTCGCCATCTTCTTTCTTCTTCCACGCCCTTTTTTCCCCTAGCTTCGTTACGAAAATCACACATATGTCTATGAGATCGCCTAGTATTCGGCATCTGCGCTAAACGGTCGATTGGTTATACACGGTGTTTTTTTTTAAGATGGACCATACGACTATGTAGAGCCGCTGTAGAAATTGTTTCTAAATCAACTAATTTATTCAAATGAGATATAAACGTATAGGATTACAAACGGTGCTCGAATTGTTTTCCACCGGCAACCAAACGATACCCGATACTAGGCACTGAATAGCTCGCATACCACTCAGCTACTGTGCCCACTCTTGTACAAATTGTACTACATGAACACCTTTTCGAACGGCGGAATACATATTGCTGCTTCGTTGATGCAGTTTGAAGGATCAGATTGAGAACTGTCAGTGAAATAACTAGGCCAAGGTCAAGATTTGGGAACAATTGGCGCAATGTAAATTTCCCTATGACCCATTTTAAATAACTCAACTCCGTTACATTGTCGTATGGGGCATCTTAAAAAAAACACCCTGTATACAGAACATATCATGTTTTTGTTTCAGATGTAAAGGTGTGTTGCCTAACCTTTGATTGCATATATGTGACCACAAGCAAAAAACTTTTAAATTGGGCGCCATTTCGAATAACTCACTTCCGGTGGGAATTTCGAGTTGGCAAATGGAATTTTTCAATGCTTCTTGCATTGAAACGGAAAAATTTTCTCAGATTTTAGCCCCGACTATGAGTACCTAGGTAAATATCTGAGGGAAGCATAGGACTTGTTGAAAATTTACTGCTGTCTTGACTCATGAACGACGAATGAAAATCCCAGTGCTTGCCAAAGAAGATGGAGTGGCTGAAAGTACAATATTCAAGATTAGGTATACACGAAAATTTTGACATGAAAGCAGTGTCTGATCCATGGACTCCCGACTCCTTGCGCCAGAGCGGAATACTCAAAAATGAAAAATATTGGTCCAAAGCATTTGGGCGCTTTGGCGAACGACGTCCGGTCACAAACTCCACTTCATCAAAACATGAACTAATGAAGTGGGATAAGGGACCTCTACACCCAAAAAATACCTAGAGCCTTCACGTGGAAAAACTGATGGCGACCATTTTTTTTGGGGTTGTGAAGGCGTTTTGTTTATTGAATACATGGGAAAAGGGCGACATTCATAATTGGGTAGAACATTAAACAAAAATTCTTGTAGAGCACCGGGCGCGGCACCTATCGCCACTTGGCACCTTGGAAGTTGCAACACTTACTGCCCCAGTAGCTACGCCACTGCTTACTTCTTCAGTATATAAAGAAAACCAATGAATAAAGAATGTAATGCTCCTTCCTGGTATTCTTTATTCATTGAAGAAAACATACTACTCTTTCCTTGTAAACTTTGGTATTTATTGCCAATTTTTTCGAATAGGTAGGTACTTATACATTCAAGTTTATCTAAAGATTTCATATTTAATACTTGCTAAAACCATAATAATAAAATTATATTATGTTATATCTATCTATACACACACTTTCAGGAATTTATTATCTAACATTCTTTATAAATTTATGTTTTAATTGCTAGTGGGCATTTAATTAGGAATTCAATGCTGTGCTTGAGATGACCAGGCAGAACGGGACCTCTACCTGTTTGACCTGCGTTTTTTAGCAGTAATGTTTCATGTGTATCACTTGGAAAGAGATTTTTTAAATCAATTAAACCCTACCGATGTAAAGGGTGCAGGTAGCTATCTTCACAAAAGTTTCTGCTCCAACTTAAAATTATAGATCCTTGAGAACTAATGCAAAACTGATATTCTTTGCACTTTTAAAATGAAAAGTAACCTGAAACGGAAACTTAGGTAGACACCTGGCGAAAAGCTTTCAATACTTTGATTATTGGTAATTTTTTATGCCGGATGTTGGCTCTTTTTTATTCATTTATCAATTGTATTTATTTACTTGCAGGATGTAGCTACAAAAGACTGAAAAGTACACAATTTTGAGAGTTTTTGTAAACCAAAAGAACTGTTTCATCGGGAATAAATTCGTATACTTGCACACATTAGGTATTATTTTCGCATTAATGGGTAGGTAAGTATTAAAAAATTACCTACCTACAGTTTAAAATACTATGAAAGTGACGACTAGAGCGCAAATAGATAAAGTACAAAATGAAATGTTTGCAAAAAATCAAAATTTGGAGTAGGTACCTACCGTTTATATTTTATAAAATACTGACCGTCACTTAAACAGAGTTTAACCCAATAACGAAAATATATACCTACTCGTAGATTTACTGGTTGCAATTTTCAGACAGAGCAAACTGCAACTTGCAATGTATAGGTAGATAATTCTACTAGGTAGGTACTGTACGGGGTTATTGTGAAGCGCTTCGGAACTAGTGTTACGATTCGTTTTATGGCGTGGTTATTTACTCTACATGACAAAAGTACCTATGTGCATATGTACCATTTACATTATCCTTCCGATCCCAAATTTTATGGTTACAAGGTTTATTAGAGTTATAACTTTCATTTTCTTAACCTTTACTGTCAGGGCCAATTCATTGTGTAAAATGGACCGTCCATAAATGCGTAATATAACAGTGCTCTTTTCGGATCCCATCTCAGCCATTTATGAACCAAATTGCAAACTTTTTTACTATGAAATTTCATACGTGAGCACTTGAAATAAAAGCAAAATAACACGAGGTTCAAAATTTGGTTTTGCAAATGTGCATGAAAGTTTTTAAAAATCAAAAGTGACTGTCGTGTTGCAAATTCAGTAGGTACCAAATTCCGATGAACACCGCCCTATCAAACTTCAATTCTATCGACTACTCACTCCTCACACTATCGCACTTCTTCTACCCCCTACTATGAAATTTCTGTAACAGTGAAGGGTAACCAAATTAAGGGGTGGTTTGTATTTTTTTAAGTGGTGTAGCCAAAAAACATTTCTGGACCACCGTTTCTGAGATTTGACCCAAAGTTGATATTTTTCAAATGCAACACCCTGTATATTTTTGAAATTTTTGAAATGCCATGTTTCTACCGTTAGCCATTCTTATTGATTGGTATCGGCTGCCTTAGTTACTATGAATGCAATAAACAAAACGTCCATGAATCGATGGCCTATTATTTAAAACACGTAAGAAATGAGGTTTTTTTATTTTTGGTTCATTGCTAAAATTAAAAAAAAAGTATACGTTGTAATACATCAATGTATCAGGAAAAAGAAAAGAAAAAGAACCAGTTTTAACTGGCCAAGACCATGTAAGCAAAACAAAGCCATAAATTGAGCAAATGTTTACACCAAAAATGAAAACGATGTCAAAAGGTTACTATATTTACCATACATATGTAATGCATTGAAGTTAAATCAGGACAATTTCCAAAAACAAAGATTGAAAATTATAAAAAAAAGTAGGAGTGTACACAAAACACAAATAAATTATAAAGAAATCCAAATAAATAACACATAAGGAACAACAAATAGAAACTAGACGATGCTCTATGTAGGGAAGCCTCAAGCAACTTAGACGTACGAATCGTCCCTGTTCGAAACGGTACAGAC